GATACTATATGAACAGTATCGATATTGTTCATGTGGTATCGATACCCTAGGTAAGAAAAATATCGATACTCTCAAGGTAGTACTATAGGCTTAGTATCGATCCTGTAAGGCCCAACGGCTAGTAACATCTAGTTTTATTTAAATATTACAAACGTAGTACCGGTACTCCCTGTAGGAGTATCGATACCCTTTGTTCTAGGTAACTTTATTTTGTAGAGAAAACATCCCTAAACGGCTAGAAATCATCCCCAACGGATAGAAACGGCCACAACCTTATTCCAACATATAAATACAAGATCAAGACACTTGAAGAAGGGTTAGAACACCTATCCAAGCAATCAAACACAATAGAAAAACTTTTCACTCTTTATTTCATTTCTCTTGTAAATATTGTGTTTTTTTGAGCTTTAATTTTTAATCAACTTCCTTTTTAGAGGTTTCTTTATTTACATCTTTTTCCTTTTGTAAAAAGAGTTTTGGTTATATATTAGTCAAGTGAAAAGATAGGAAGTTGTAAAGGTTACTCTTGATCCTTGAAAAAGAAAGAACAAATTAGTGGATTTGTTGGAAAATCCTAAGTGAGGAGCTTAGGTAGTGGATTTAGACTTAGTTCAGAAGTCGAACCACTATAAATCGTTGTACAAAACTTTCCTATCTTTTTACTCCTTACTCTGTAAACTCTCGAAAAGCCAATTCACCCCTCTTGGTAATATTTTCAGTTGTCAATTTGAGCTTTGTAAATCCTAACAATTGGTATCAGAACTTGACTCTTTAGAAGGCTTCACATCATTGAAGAAGCTCTATCGATTCTTGACACAACTGACAAGAAGATGGCTTTGACCTCTGGCTCTTATTACATTGAAGATTCTCAATCGGTCAACAAGCCACCATATTTCAATGGATCAAACTATGCCTATTGGAAGAGTAGGATTATGCTCTCCATTCAAGCCAACGATCTAGGAGTTTGGAACTCAATCAAAGTATACTTCATTCCAACCGATAAGATAAATGATTGGAGTGATGAAGAGAAGAAGAAGTTACAACTCAATGCTAAGACTATGCATATCCTCTTTTGTGCATTAGGCTCGGATGAATATGGAAAAGTCTCCTCTTGTTCTAATGCAAATGAGATATGGGACAAGCTCCAAATCACTCATGAAGGAACCAATGAAGTGAGGGAAACCAAGATTAGTCTTCTCAACCATAGCTATGAAAATTTCAAGATGAAACCTGATAAAGACATCAAAACTATGGAAGATAGATTTTACGTGATTGTCAATGGTCTAAAAGGATTTAGGGAAGTAATCCTTAATGAGAAGCTTGTGAGGAAGATGATCTACTCTCTTCCAAAGTCTTGGCAATAAAGAAGAATACGATTATCGAAGTTAAGAACCTCAAGTTACTCACTCTTGATGAGCTTATCGGTTCTCTTCTCACTCATGAGTTGATGGTAAAGGAAAAAGAAGATGATGAAGAAAAGAAAAACAAGAAGAAAAAGGTAGGCATTGCCTTCAAATCCGCCAATGAGAGCAATAAATATACAAATGAAGAGGTGGATGAAGACGATGATAAAGAAGAAGAGATGGACAAGCTCTTCAAAGGATTCAAGAGATTCATAACTTCCAAAGAAGTGAAGTATGAATCAAGCAAAAAGAAGGGTCCCCCGGTGTGCTTCGAATGTCAACGAACGGGGCATGTCAATTATGATTGTTCCTTCCTAAAAAAAAGGGATCAAATAAAAAAAAGGCATTTGTGGTAGCTTGGAGTGATGAAGATGACTCAAATGACGAAAATGAAGTAGGAAATCTATGCCTCATAGCCATCAATGAAGAGTCAATGGTAACTTCTAACTCTAGTGAATTAGATTCTTATTCTTTTGATGAGTTAAAAGTTGCTTATAATGAGTTGTATTTGGAATTTGAGACCATGAATTCCAAATATAATAAATTAATTTCAAAACTTAAAGTTTAAAATGATTTGGTTTTGAAAGAAAAAGTTGATTTTGAGAAACAAAATAAATCTTTGAAAAATGATTTAGAGCTTTCCAAAGTCAAAATCAATGATTTAGAAAAAGAAAATTTTGATTTGAAAGTTAAGCTTGTGAACATAAAAAAAGAAAAAGAATTAATTTCTAAAAACAACTCATTTTGTTTAAAAATGACAAAATGCTCACATTGTCATTTTCATGGTCACATGGAACATACTTGTCATTTGAAGAAAGGAAAACGTTTTAAAATTAGACAAGTGTGGGTTCCTAAGGGAACAAAGGACATTGAAACTAACGTTTAAGGATCCAAAGGCAATTTGGATACCAAAATCTACTTAAATGTCTCTTGTAGGTGTGTGGGAGCAATGGTGATGAAAATGAAGATATTCAAATACTTTAGCCACACTTGAAAAGGAATGGGTAACCTTTAAGCTTAAAAGCTTTTTGATTTTGCATACTTGGTTGCTCATTTAGTTTATGCATGCATGCGTTTTGAACTTAAATGATTTTGTGTTGATTTTTCTATCTCATGTATGTTAAAAGGAATTGTGATGAACATTTTAAAGTTTTAATGATTTTTTATAATTTTTAGTTCATCATAATGAATTTTGGTTAAAATTGGTTTTTAATGCAAAAGATATCTCACTAACAATTGATATCAAATTTTCAAATGCTTTGTTTTTCAAATTTTAATTTTTAACCTTAATTTTTAAATGCTTATGCATGTAACTTATTTTAAATGATATCTCTCTAACAATTGATATCAATTTTTTTAAATGCATAACATTCTTTTTGGATAGCTTTATGCATATGCAATTTATTTCAACAATTGGTATTGCATAAAGTATTTTAGACTTGTATATATTGAATTGCATATGCTACTAACATATTTGTTCATCTTTGGTGAAATTCAATTTTTTTTTTTGATGACATGATTTTAAATTCAAATCTTTGTTTGGAATGTTTTTATTAAGGGGGAGTTTTTGATTTTTCAAATGATTTTATAATATGATTTATCCCTTACTCTTCATTGTTATTTTTGAACCTTAAAGTTGAATTATTTTTTATATAACAAAAAGGGGGAGAAGTTAGGTTTGAAAAATTCAATTTCAATAATGAAAAAGGGGGATTTTAATGTTCTTCCAAAATATGTTTCTTTTTCATTAAATGTTTTATTAAGGGAGAGTTTTTGCCAAAAATAATTTTTCAAATGTTTTGTTATATCAAAAAGCGGTAGATTTTAATCATGCTTTATAATATTTTGATATAACAAATTAAGGTAAAATGTTTTTGGACTTGAATTGAATTTATTCAAAGTTTTCAAAAATAATTCAAAGTCCATTTAAAGTGAATTTGAGCACAAAACAAATTTTCACGTACGAAGTACCGATACTATTCTTATAGTATCGATACTATATGAACAGAACCAATATTGTTCATATGGTATTGATACCCTACGTAAGAGAAGTATTGATACTCTCAAGGTAGTACCGATACTACCAGCTTGCTTAAATTCAAGAATGCAAAATAGGTATCGATACCCAAAGGGGTACCGAAACTACTTTACATGAAGTAGTATCGATACCGTCAGGCCCAACGGCTAGTTTTATTTAAATATTATAAAGGTAGTATCGATACTCCCTGTAGGAGAATCGATATCTGTTCTGGGTAGCTTTATTTTGCAGAGAAAACATACCAAACGGCTATAAATCATCCCTAATGGCTAGAAAAATACCACAATCTTATTCTAACATATAAATACAAGATCAAGACACTTGAAGAAGGGTTATAACACTTATCCAAACAATCAAACACAAGAGAATATATTTTTCACTCTTTATTTCCTTTCTCTTGTAAGTATTGTGTTTTTGTGAGCTTTAATTTGTAAACACTTTCCTTTTTAGAGGTTTATTTGTTTTCATTTTTTTTTCTTTTGTAAAAGGGGTTTTGGTTCTATCTTAGCCAAGTGAAAAGATATGGAGTTGTAAAAGTTACTCTTGATCCTTGAAAAAGAAACAACAAATTGGTGGATTTGTTGGAAAATCCTAAGTGAGGAGCTTAGGTAGTGGATGTAGACTTAGTTGAGAAGTCGAAACACTATAAATTATTGTGCAAAACTTTCCTATTTTTTTACTCCTTACTCCCTAAACTCTCAAAAAACCTATTCACCCCTCTTGGCAATATTTTCGATTGTCAATTTCAGCTTCGTAAATCCTAACAAAATCTTTATCCCACCAAATATTGTCTTGCAAGATTTTTAGTAATATATTTTAATTATGAATATCTAAAGGGAATATTATAGATTATTATGGATGTTGATAAATATTAGAAGGAAAAGGCATTCCTTTCTTCTTAGATGAACCATATATTTATCTTTTTTATGTACATCTATAATCCACGTGTCCATTTAATTATTTGTATTTGGGATAGACTGAGGAGATGTATAAGAGCAGTTGTTTCCTTAAAAAAATTATATGTTTTAAATATTTTATTTTTATTGAAAATTTATTTCCATCTCCAAAAACTTAGATTCATCCATGTTCATATTCATTTACCTCATTATTTATTTTTTATTTTGTAAGCTTTATCATTATCTTCTACCCCTACACATATTATAAATATGAAATTCAAGTGAATGAGAACAAGAATAATAAAAATTACTCTTCTTTTATTTCTTTATATTCCTTGACAAATTTCTTTTAGTAAACAAAAATATTATATCCAACAAAATAGTCTTCGAACTAAAAATTAAATCTGTTTAAACCCCTGGTCCGTTTTCAATTATATAATATATTATCTTTACATGTTCTGTAAAAAAAATTAAATATAAAATTTTAGTGGAGATGTAAAATTGTTTATATTTAAAAATAAATAAAAATTAAATTACTAAATATTAAACAAATTAACATAATGGAAAGAATCATATATTAGAAAAACTTAAACAAAAATGAATTATTTGTTTACAACTATGAAAAGATTTGAATAATATTAATGGGTAGCAATAGCATACATAGGCCTAATCGGAATCAATGTTATATAATGGAACTGTCAAACTCAAGGGCTTGTAATGATCTACAAGTGAACCAGACACGAGCAACGACTGCAAGCAAATTCCATATGAAAATCCCTTGTAATGATCTACAAGTGAAGCAACTATATACTCAAAACTATGTATGGTAATAGGTCAATAATGAATGCCGACTCGACTCGGAATAAATCATTAATTAGCCTCCGGGCACCACTTAAGCCGTCGCTACCTGCAGTCCAGAGGTTTCGACGACTGTATGACGTTGTAGAGGCCACTTTCCGCTCGGAAAAACGTTCATCAAGCCTCCTAGGACTTGCTTTACTATCTTGCACATAGAACATTGAGCAGCACATGGCATAACATGAGATCGACGAAATACTGGTGTCCGATCTCACCGTCTATCCACTTCATCTTTAGGGGAGCCCTCCCGTAATGAACACCATCGTTGCACCTATTATCGTAGTGCCATGAATATGTCATATCAAAGTTATCAATCACGCTCGAAACCAGCCCAGCTTGCCTTAGTTTCTCCAAAAGAACTCCATTGAATGCTTCCATCTTACTAGGATTAAATGCCAGTGATCTTGCATACCCACCGGTTGCGATCGTGGACCGGAAAACAATTTGTGGCACCGATAACCCTCTCCGCCTCACCGATTCCACAATGTCTTTCCAGAACGATGCTGCATACTCTGCCCCTTGAGAAAATGATCGAATACTCGACCAGTGAACACCATCATGCAAGCCCGAGTTCATGATGATAGTGTCCGGGACCATGTCCTCTGAGAAGTGCTTCTTTAACAAATTCCGAAACCCTTCATCTTTCAAAGAATCCAGACCCAAGTAATTCTGTGTTCCATTCCAATGACCATTGAAAATGCTAGTGATCCGAACTGTCTGAGACCGATCTTTCGGGTTTGAGAAGTTCATATCAAACCTTCTAGGCACAGATTTGATCTCAGGCAAGCCTAACACAAAATTAAGCATATTCCTGATGGTATCGACATGATTCGAATCACCCCAGAAGAAAATCCACCTATTCTTCAAGCAATTCCAACCAGAATCAACCGAAAACAACCGAAACGAACAATGGCTCGAATACACCCATCCGTTACTCTCTAAAAGTCCTAATGAACCATTGCACCATGGACTCCGACATGGAAAATCCGGTTCCAGGCATCGATATCGGCCATCTTTACTAATTCGACAATCATCATTCTTTCCATGTCTAGTCCATCTACCAGACCAAACATCTCTATTGAAATCAGTTTTTTGGCAAATCTGTAGTTGGGGCAGTTGAGCTTTAGTCTTAAAGAACCTAATCCCTATATGGCGCAATTGTCTATCATATGCAAATCTTGCAGGCGAAATTTTAAGGCCTTGGAAATTTCTAAAGAGCAAAATAAGAGAGAGGTTATAATCACCAGCAAAATCAGGATGAACCTGAAGGGAAACCGAGTAAGAACCATTGCAAAAATCTTTCACCAGAGGCCTTGATTTCCATGAATCTCCTGAAAGATCGACTTCAAAGTAATCCCCACCTAAACAACGAGCATTCCCAGATTCATCGACAGCTTGAAACACGAAATAATGGATTTCACCGGCTGATAGTTCCACCATTTTCTCTTTCTCCAAACCCGGAATCTTGATTCCCACAGTTTGGGAGTCTTTACAGGGCTCTCCTCCTTTAGCCAACCATTTACTCAATAGATTTGCAGTAAAGTTGGTCTCCAGCTCTGCTGAAACCCAGTTCAACAAATCATTGGATTTCGTTGTTTCAAGGGAAGAATTAACAATAAAAAGGGGGAAATGGGTGGTGTTTAAAGTTGGATTTAAGGTAAGATTTCCAAGGGAATGCGAGGGATTTTGGTAAGTTCGATTGGTATTAGCCGAGTTCACTTTGAAGGTGATGTGATCTTGTTTAAACTGCCGTGATTGGATAAAGTCCTTGATAGTGCAGCCATCTATGCTCCAAACTACCACCATGCCAACGAGAACCAAAGTCGTTAACAACCCAAAACGCCATCGATGCACTGGAACAAAGCCCCCTCCTTTCACTGCCATCTGCAAATAAAACCAAGGGAAATTTTTTTTTCTTTCCACCACCGAGGAAGAACAGTGGAATAATTTTTATAATGGAAACACCCAAGAATCAACGAAGACTTGTAATTTGACGACCCAGCATATTCCGATAAAAGTTTTCTCAAAGCACGAAACTTTCGAGTTTATCAATGAAAATGTACGATTAAAAAGGAGAAAAAGGAAACAGCTGTAAACCTGCAACTTAATGAGATGTTGTGCTTCTTCTACTGTAAAAATCGCCGGCTTCACCAAATAAACAAGAAAAACTTGGGTTTTGACAAATTGCTTATGAAACCAAAGATATTTCTTCTTGGTTTTTCTAATGTATATATACAAGGAGGACAAATCCAAAGACGCGTCCTTCTTTTACTGTAATTTGTTTTCCTTTTATCCGCATTCATTGTGTATCATGATAATTTAATATATAAATTTATAGTATAACATCAGTTTGTGCTCTTAATATATATATATATATATATATATATATATATATATATATATATATATATATATATATATATATATTGTTGAAAACAAATGAGGAGATATCAATGCAGTTTAATTTTACAATCACATTTATTGTTCAAACATAAAGCATAATTTTTTCTCAAAAATCTCTATATAACTTATTCACAATTATATTTCGTTATTTCTCGTTAATGTTATGGAAGAACACATTAATCTTTTGAGCAAACACGTTTAGCCTGTTGATTAAGTTATCTATCTTTGTTTCATCATCTCTTTTTAGGTGAACTCACTAAGAATACACACTTTCTTTCTTTTAGAATCCTCCCTTCTTTCTTCTTTTTATGTAGGATTAGTATTAGAGTTTATATTTATAAAGAAAATATATTAATCTTTTAATATCCTATTACACCGATAATAATCATCGTACACCTATTAATATACTTTCATTCACATAAGAAAAACATTGATATCTTATGCCATTTTTTTACAAAGACACTGCATTTTAAACATTTAACCTTTAAGGAAAAAATCATTATTCTTAAGATATAGGATTCTCACAACCCATTAATAAGCACTGCTAAGGATTGAGTATTAATACTCTTATTGAATGCAAAATTAGTCTAATTTGACTCTTTAAATTTGGGTGAGGGAAGTGGTAAGGATTCATAATAAAAGGATGAATCTAAAAGGAAGCCTAAATATAGAAATAACTATTTCAAGCTCAAAAATCACTTTCGATCTCTCTCTAAACATGTAATTTAAGATCTTACTCAATTATTAAGGCTTATGAAAATGGTGTCAGATCATCTAACATCATTTTCACACATGTTTAATAACAAAGGTATTAATTCCATAAAAAAAAATTATGTGACACTTGCAACAACCAGCATGCATCGTACCTAGGGATGAGAATGGTACTCGAATTCAACGGGTTGCGACCTAACCCAACTCGATCACGTAGTGTTTTTTTATAAAAAAAATTGAATTCGGGCCGGTTCGGTCGATTTTTTAAGAGTGATGTTCGGGTCGGGTTTGGATTTATGGTGAAAAATATCCTACTCGAAAAAATATAATTTTACCTTATATATTTAGGAATAATTACAATATATATATATATATATATATATATATATATATTTCAATTAAATTATTATTTTTATTGAATAAAAATAATATTTTTTTTATTGAATAAAAATAATATTTTTATTATTTTGAGTTGGGTTGGATTCAGATTTTATCTTAAAAAATCGGGTTAAATTCGAGTCCAGTAAAAAATATATATTTTCAAGTCGAATAAAATCAAATGAATGATATAAAATTTTTAGATCATGCTGAATTGATTGAAGCCCGACTCATATATATCCCTAATCGTACGAACAAGCAAATCATAATTTTTATGAAGTATTTCAAAGTGTACCCACCTTAGGCTTCTAGAGCCTTAAGGCTTGATGAGGGAGGTGCACTCTTATCATCCTATTCTAATAAAGATTATTTTCTCTCTCTGGTCAATGTATTCTAATAAGAATTTCAAAAGTATAAATTCATACACTCGTACAATAATTAAAATTTTACATGTGACACCTTAATATAGCGTAATTAAATAAAAATATTATCTTAAGGAATAATATTTTATTTTATTATCTTAAGGAATAAACATCACTTTTCCAAAATTTAATGATATCCATCGATGGTAAAACATATAATTTTTCATTAAAAATTTTCTGTTTCTTAGGAATAAATAATAATGTTAGTGAATAAACGTAGGTATGAGCATGAGACTTGAACCTTATTGGTTTCCACCTGACTTAGCTCGATCGGATTAAGTTTTTTTTTAAAAAGTCGGGTTCGATAGAGTCGGGTTTTTTTAATGTGATGTTCGGGTCGGGTGAAGTTCAGGTTTAGGGTGAAAAATATCTGATCCTACCCGACCTGACCCGAAAAAATATATAATTTTACCTTATATATTTAGAAATAATTACAATAATACAACTTTATATATTATTTTTTTCAATTAAGTCAATATTTTTATTGAATAAAAATAATATTTTTATTATTATTTTAGGTCAGGTCAGATCAAATTTTTAAGTTATATATCAAATCGATTTCGAATTGGGTGAAATCTTTGTTCTCCGTTCAGATTGAGTAGACAAAAAACTCGACCCAACTTGACCCATACCCATCCCTAAATAAACAGACCGGTTATTATTTTATAAACATTAAGAGTGAGTTTTATTTTTATACATGATAGATAAATTTTTAAATTTCATAGTTGATGTACATATAAGTTTATGCAATCAATTAAATAGAATTTCACGCTAATGCCCTTAGAAAATGACAGTGAGGCTGTAGACGCCCAATACGGCACCGACATGGCAAAGAGACTCCGTTAAAATATGATTTTATCATATACTAGTTGAAAGGTTAATGTTTAACTTAGATGATTGTTAATTTTTAATAAAAAATAACGAGTTTAAAATATATAAATAATTGAGTGATTATTTTATAATTTTTAATAATTAATACACTCAATAAACTATTATCTTATAATTAAGAACCATTTTATAAATTTAAATAATCAAAAAATTCAATAAACTAATTTACTATAATTAAAGTACCATTTTTATACGTTAACCTTTTATTTTCATTTTGACAAATGTTCATATGATTGATGGCGACACACAAAAAGCCAAAAGGACAAAGACTGTCTTTTGGAAACAGTATCTCGAACAGTCATGTTCAATTATTTGTAGGTCAAATTGTAGGGTAAATTATACATTTAATACTTTAATTATTCGTTTTATTTAATTTTAGTATTTAAACTTTTATTTCTTTTAAGGTCTTGTAAAAAGTTCAGTTTTTGTTTCTTTTTATTACCGCGGCTAAAAATTTTAATTTTTTTGTTTTATTTTAGTGCTGTCACTCAAAATTTAACATGAAGTTTTGAAAAAAATTTAAAAATTAGATATTAAAATAGATCAAAACTGATAGTTTAGGTATTAAATGTATAGTTTACCCTAAATTTTATATACAACACAATTCTACATATAAAAGTAAATATTATAAATTCGCGTCACATTTATATAAATTTTTATAAGATGTATATTTTAAAAACTCATCATTAAAATTAATGATATAATTATATCCATTGTATATGTAAATTCTTGAGTCAATCTAATATTTTTATTATATTGATTGAGTATATATATATTTTTGATGTAATTGTTGAAAGTTTTTTTACAATACATAAATAATTAAATATTTTTAATTCACCTAAGGCTAACAGTTTGATGTTTGGATAAACCTTCTCGATTTTATTGTATGAAGGGGTTGTTTAATGGTTTTTTTTTAACAAATACATAATCCAAACACGCTTCCTATTTCTAATGCAACTTGGTTTTCTTTTCTACTCATTCATTTAGTGTAAATTGGTATTAGTAGTAAAAGATAATATTATTTTTCTTAAAATTTTTAGGCTCGAACAATTATGTTTACCAATAGGTTAATAAAAAAAATTATAAACATATATTACTTTCTAATCACTAAGACTAATCAAATATATATAATTAGGCTTAATAAAAAAAATAAGAGCCCAAACTATATCATTTTTCCTATTTAGGTACCTAAACTATTTTCTGTCAATTTATGTACTTAACGTTACAAACGTTACTATTTTAAGTGTATCGGTTGTAACAACCGTTAAAAAAATGTTATATGATCAGTGTTGCATTTAGATAATTTTAAAAAATTAAAAATAATAGGGTAAAGTACACAAATAGTCCCCCAACTATTGAGTATTACTCTATTGAGTCCCTCGACTATTAAAAATTATAAAATGATCCTCTGACTATAGGGTATTACTTTGTTGATCCTTCGATTATTAAAAGTTATAAAATATTTATCTCACTATTCATATGTTCTAAACTCGTCATTTTTTGTTAAAAATTTGATGGTAGTCTGAGTTGGACATTAACTTGCTGATTGTGATATTATAGTCATTTGAGAATCCATGATCAGATTTTATTATATCCCAGTTAGTGGGTTAACGTCCAACTCAAACTGTCGTCAATTTTTTAACGGAAAAAAATGAGTTCGGAACATATGAATAGTCGAGTGACCATTTTAAAACTTTTAATAGTCAGGGGTGTAACACCCCCAACCCATATCCGATCCGGATACGAGTCTGAGGTGTCATATTGACTTTTCAAATCGTTTACTTTTACAAGATAACAGAAAATTTAAATTCACTTTAAAATAAAACTAAATAGTTTATATTAAATACAATCATATAGTTTTACAAAACCGATCAGAGCATATCTGACTCAAATCTTTAATTACATCTAACTTCATTCATTATAACAAAATGCATACTATTCAATTCTTTTCCGATCTGATCTTCGAAAATCGGAAAGGAGATGTTGTCCAACTCGTTTAGCTTTGCTCTTCCTACCTCATTGAACATACGTGTGAAACACTCACACGCCAAGTCATTAACTTAGTAAGGCATATAAAGCGTATAATAAAAACCTTAAATACTTAACAAAATCTGAGCATTTCATATAATAATAAAATACAAAAACCATAGAACATTTTATATAACAAAATGCATACATGCATATATACCATTAACATCATTATCGTTATCAATATTATTATCATTAATCCCTTTAATCATATAATCTTGTACTTAACATTTGTAAACATCATATAATACATTTCACAAAGCAAAAAAACGTAACATCACATATAGTTTATTTATGTTATCTCTTTTAATAGCCCATGATACACTTCTGAGAACTTAAAGTATGTGAGTGCA